AGCACACGGTTGCGCACGGTAACGCTGTATTAAGTACAGTGTAAGTAGCGGAGTCTCACAGTTTGTGATTATAATATTTCTATGTATACTGGTACCACGGCCAGTTAAAAACAACTAAGGCTCCTGGCATGATCGATAAACCTTTTATTTTTACAACCGAGTCGCCATAACACGCTGCAATCACAGAACATTCAATAGTCCTCATGTTTGGGAGGATGCCAAGAGCATTTTGCGATGTGCATGAAACCGAAACCGGCACCTACTCTGAAAATATTCTGGTGAATGGAGGGTATACAACGACAATAAACAGCACTCTGGAAAGTTGCACTAATTAACCGATGTTATTACGATGCATTAGCAGCCGAGCAAGACCAAATGCTTTCGTACGTCGTATAAGACATACGTAGAAACAGTTACACTCGCGCTGACATGACCGGCCAAAGCACACTTTTAGAACGTGCATGACGTACGCGCACATAGAAACACGACGTGGCTAGCAGACGACGCAAGGGGCAATCCACACTTCACCGTTTCGACCAGTTGCCGCCAGGAGGCGACTCTGCTCGATCTCGTGGCCAATGGGTGCTCGAATGCTGATCCAAAGGTCATGATTTCCATCCCGGCGTGGCGGTCGCATTTCAATGGAGGCGGGGGGGGGGAGGGGGTAGAGGCCCGTCTACTGTGCGACGTTGGTTTAAAGAGCACCAGATGGTCTACATTTTCGGAGCCCTCGTCTCTCATAATCGTGTCTTGGTTCTGTGACGTAAAACTCCGCATGTTATTATTATTATTATTATTATTATTATTATTATTATTATTATTATTATTATTATTATTATTATTATTATTATTATTATTATTATTATACTCCTCAAAGATTTCAGTACATCTATAAGTGTCAACATATTTTCGATTTAACGCGGTAGTTATATAGGAATCGCTAGTACTAGCTTTTTAATTGTCAGATATGCTTAATTGCAAGTCAATAGGGAAACGATTTTTTAGGAGGATCGAAAGACTACTCCCGCCCTCGCTCCCTTTTCTTTAAACCACACCAGCGCGAAGAGTTACAAACCTAAAACTTGTGTCTCCGGAGCCAATATTATCATACCCCTAGGATAAGTCACGTGCTGAGATGTTGCGCATTCGTGGGGAAAGAAGAAGTTGTAAAAACTACTTTTGTTTCTTTCTACTTGTTAGCATCAATGGCATGGAACATTCACTCGACGATCTGGCTATTTGTCTGTTCCCAGTGGCTGCTCTTGGGATAAGAAACCGCAATCTCTATATTAGCTGTGCGATACACTACTCATGGAGTTTCCTAAAATAGAGGGGACTCTGGCGCTGCGATCATTCAGCGTTCATATTCCACCAGTGCGGCAAGCTGAACGTCCGTTCGCTTCCGCGTTGTTTTACACCACAATTAGTGCACTTGAATTAACCCTTTGATGCCCGCTGGCGCTCTGGGGCAACAACCCCCATTTTTTTTTTTCAGTAAACACACCCAGCTGCGCGACACTTCTGGCGTTATATGTGGTATAAGAGACAACCGTCTTGAGCTTTAAAAAATACGTATGTACATATAAATGCAGCGCGTTTTTGTAGTGTTTTGTTCTAGCGTCTGACAGGTGGTAAATAAAGCTCCGCACGGAAGGAAATAATCGTAATTTATTCCCGAAAGCATTATTGGCATATTTTATTATTTCATTAAGCATATACCATATTTTTTGGCGTTCTTCATTGAAACAAAATTTGGGGGATCAAAGGATTAAAGTTACATAATACGCTTCCAAAGTATTTCATTGTTTCATTACCCGGCTTCATATAGCGGTTTTTTTAGGCAGTTCCAAAGCGCTTCATTGGAATGGTAGCGTAACTAAATATATGCTGCTAAATAGCCCCAGAGAAAACTTTTTTCCGTGCGCCGCTGGCACAAAAGCGGCCATTAAATATTATTGTCTCTTTATCTTCGTTATTTGATTATCAGGGGGTGGTTTTGGGACGTTAAACGCCACATATTGATCAATTATATATTTGGAGAAAATTATTTTCACATCTGATGATGCAGTTAATGTCAGTCTAACAGCACTGTAAGTCACTTTTGATTACTATCGGGACTGATGCGGATTGAATTTCTTGATCCTGGTTGGTTCTTTTAAGTAAGCTGCGGAAGGGAGTTATCAATGTGAAGTAATTTGATCACCATCGAGTTTAATCGCAATCAGCAGTGCACAGTATGACAACGCTACGACATGTGTCGTCACCCCTAGTACACTGCATTTAAGTTTCTATTTTTCCAAATGTTACTCCAACTCTCCAGGCCGTTTGTAAAAATGTGACTGTTGATCGGTTTCGTTCTGTGAAAAAGGTGTGCAAATTTGGAATGGTGGTGAAAGGTGGAGCCATTTTGATTATGTGACCAGTGGCTAGCTAACAATTCTGAAGTGTCTGTTACCGTTATAGAAGATGAAGAATTTGAGACGATTTTGCATGTTTCGTTTTCATAATTCGTTTACGAACATAAATTATAGGAAGCGATGCTTCTTGTTGCACTTGAGTCCCTTGGCATCACCAACGGGGGCAATGAGGCCCTCCCCCGTTTTATTGCATTTTGCATGTAGATACCTACTGTATATATATATATATATATATATATATATATATATATATATATATATATATATATATAATATATATATATTTATATATATATATAGGCAGGCATGGTGGTTGAGTGGCCGTAGCGTTGCATATAGTCCAGTAGATCCTCCGTGAGCGGTCACAACGTGGTTTATTTCGACGTTTCGGCGAGTCTGGCCTTCATCAGGATAAATAAAGCTGACTCTAGGCCGAAACGTCGAAATAAACCACGTTGTGATCGCTCACGGAGGATCTACTTGACAATATATATATTTATATATATATACACTATTGTGCATCTGCTTGAGGGGATTAGGGAGTGCGCGTTCGCATACACTCACGTTCAGCGACACCTAAACGTGTTGTTTGCACATCGTATACAGATGAACATATATATCAGCACAACTTTTGAATCTTGTGAGTTAGTATAAGCGTCTGAACCTATGAAAGGGGGATGAAGACGCTGGATATTTTTTTCTCGTCCATTATACTCATGGTACTTTAAAAAAATTCACACGAAAGTGTTTTATGCTGGGGTCCACCAAAACTTCACTTACGTACTTCCGTCACGTATATAACGGTGTTAAAAGGTACACGACTACAATACAAAGGAAGAAATTAGGAGAGAAAGTTACGCGAATCTGGAGGACCCGGGAATCGAGCCCACGACCTCTCACCCACAGCAATAGAAATTGGGCGCTTAACCCTTATGTGCCTAAACTTAGGAAAATCAACAAAACTAATTTATTTCCCCAAAACGATTACTTCTACGACCTCAGAAAACAGAATAAAGCTTTTATTTAAAAACAAACTCTTTCGAAGAATGATATTGGAGCCATCCTGTATGTAGGACGCCTATGTTCGACAAGCCGTGAACAAAATACATTAGCGCCTATCACTGTCATACGAAAGTTACTGCACACCCAATAACTGACAAACAGTCGACAAAAATATCAGCACCATTGAGAACAATTTGACTCTATATTACTTTATATTTTTCACGCTATAGCTCTCAGCCACATGCACGTGAAATTGCCATTTTGTGACTGCAAGCAAGTGGTCATTTGTAGCCCAGAGATCACCTAGACTTGCATGTGACGAAAACATGGCATCATGAACACACCTTACGTGGCGCTACCTCTTTTACAGAAAAAAAAAACACACATTCGAGTTGCACTGAAAAGTTTCACCGTCCTATATGTAGGACACTGGGCATATATATATGGATTAACCAACTGAGCCATCGGCGCATTTGCTAGCAGTCCTTTAGACGCGCCTTATATATCTCACACTCCTTCGCTCTGTACATGCGTTCTTCGTTTGTTGGGTTGGTAGTTGGTACCACCGCCTAATAGCGGAGAAAGGAAGCACATGCATTAGTGACACTAACTAAAGCCGACAGAGAGCGCTGTGGTAGTTTCAGCACTACGGGGCCTCGACGCCATCATTCGAATGGATGTTGGCATCAGAGCTGAATCAGAATTAAAGCCCATATTCGAAGTTCCAAGGGCTTGGGTTCGAGCGTCCTAGGTGGAGTTGGCCCTACTCGAAACAGTGTAACATGGCCTCAGCAATCGGCTTTGGCAAAGTTTCTGGAGCTAATTTTGGAGGCCACTAATGGAGCTTGCCATTGTGACGCGCTCGCTGATTTCACTTTCGTGTTGTACTCGCGTGTGCTGCGTTGTGCAGCTTCCATACGCACCAGTGGTGTATCTCCGCCGCCTACTAATACGAACGCGATGGTGCTTGATGACTGCGAGAACTGCTGCTTTAAAAGACAATGGCGTGGATGGGTGAATTTGGCGCTAGTGCGTTTGGTGCAGTGATGGACACGGCGGAGCGGTAGGCCTTCGCGCGTTCACGACCCAAACTAAGAACTCTGTCTCTTTGAAGTTGAGAGCATCGCGGCCACACTGGGTGCCATACAGACACGGATGCAGGATCGAATTGATCGTGTCTTCGCCGAAGCGGCTTACTAGCAGGACGCAACTCGGCAACACGACGGTGCATGCCAAGTACATCCACAGGACGGTGGCCGACCCGCAAATCACGCACCCATGTAGCCAATTACCGTGAGTTGAAAAACGAGCAAGAACCCGTTGGGGTTTAAGTTTGATTTGCGCGATGCTCCGGTGCGTACGATGCAGTTTCTCCGGAAAGTGTATCCTGGTCGCCGGCCGTAGTTTGTCGTGATGGAGATGTGCCACCAGGTGTCAACACCAATAGACATCACAGAGATCAACCACAATATTTATGGTAACGCTCGCATGTGCAAAACAGTTGTTGGTTCCCTCAATCAATGAAATTACTTTGGCATTCCCTGGTTGTATGATCTTCTGGGGCTGTGTGCTATGCTGCAGGCGCTGTCGAGCATCTCGCTGTGCCTGATCCTGTGGTACGGGACGCCCGTGTGGCTTTTGCTGGGACCTGCCTACCCGTTCTACCTTACAGCGGTCACCTGTTCGCTCATGGGCTCCGCCACGTTCCTGCTGGCGTACCTCGTCTCCAGGAACACATTCCTCGTAGCCAGGGGCACCGTGCTGGTATGACGCGTGACGCAACTTTCCCACGAACAGTGCCCACTTGTCGTCACCCGGCACTGGCATTAAGCTATAGCGGTGTCACACGGGCACATTTAATAATGGTCAGGGCCAATTTGAATTGAATTTTTGAATGGCAATATACAATCGTCGATGCTGCACTTATCTTGGTCGAGTTTGGCAGAGATGTTTGTCAAATGGCGGTCTGGGAGCCAGATCACGATGTGCAGATCGGGTCCTGCTCGCAATTAAAAGTGGCAGCGTAACAGCGACGGACCCGGATCGAGCCGAAACTGGATCGGCCCTGATCGCGGTCAAAATTTTCCATGTGACACCGGTATTAGTGTTGCGAGACCAATGAGTCTAAACACAAAGGCTTCAATATTACCTATGATGATGGTTGACCTGGTGCGTTCATTCTGTTTTTCACAATAATGGTCATCTGAAGTTTTACGTGATCACAAATTAGACAATTATCAACTATTCTCCTAAACAGTAGACCGTTTTCATCCTTCGCACTGCTCTTTGTAAGAAAAAGGAAAGCATTTTATTTGATTTCATGCATTACAATTTTCTACTTACGAAAGCCCCGCCGTGGTGGTCTAGTGGCTAAGATACTCGGCTGCTGACCCGCAGGTCGCGGGTTCGATTCCCGGCTGCGGCGGCTGCATTTCCGATGGGGGCGGAAATGTTGTAGGCCCGTGTGCTCAGATTTGGGTGCACGTTAAAGAATAGAACCCCAGGTGGTCGAAATTTCCGGAGCCCTCCACTACGGCGTCTCTCATAATCAAATGGTGGTTTTGGGACGTTAAACCCCACAAATCAATCAATCAATTTCTACTTACAAAAATAAAAGATGAGTCAATTACGATTAAATGAGTACAAAATGAACAGTTTTTGCAACTTTTTACAATCTTTACACCACCCGCAGGTCGTGGCTTCGAATCCCGGCCGTGGCGACCGCATTTTCGATGGAGACAAAAATGCTTGAGGCTCGTGTGCTTAGGTTTAGGTGCATGGTAAAGAACCCCAGGTGGTCGAAATTTTCCGAGCCCTCTGCTCCTTCATAATAATATAATGATTTTAGGATGCTAAACCACAGTGCATTCGTTAAACCATATACTAAACAAATGGTTGCGTCTGATTTCTCCACAATATTCCACAATTTAGTGTTCTTTAGGAACTCTTCTGGAATATAAATTAGCTAGCGGTTACTAAGTTCGGCGTCAGTATACATTTGGTGTCGGGAGGCTCAATTAACAACTATATTCTGATACTTCAGAATTGCGAAAACAATCTTAGTTATGTTGTATACGTAAGCAATCCGAGTCTTTCCGCGTTTATTGTTGGTTCTATTTCGAAGTTTTTTTTTTCGTAAAAGAAATTATAGGGACTCGTAGACGAATCTCGTAAAATTCCTTTTAATTTTTATAAAGTCTCAAACCATTAGTGTAGCGGGGAGGCACTGCGAGAGCATGCTCTGCTGTCGTAACAGCAAGTAATCTTACGACTTTGTTCGTTTGTATTCGCGAGAACTCTCGAAGGATATACAGTCCCATTTTTTGGTGTCTATACTGAAGCACGCAGTTCATTATGACAGTAGTGCGGTTATCATTTGTGGCATTGGCAATCATTTAGTAGGCCAGTTACGAGAAAGTAAATTTGATGCCTCGCTGACTTTCACCACGTATTCGTTGCTTCCGAATCATTGTTGACTTGTTTAACTCTAGTTACATCGAAGCGTGTGCGATGGTTCAAGATTTAGTCAGCCTGACAAATGAATTGTTTATTCGCACTCTTCTGGGCTTTGTCCGAAACAAGAGTAGGCACGCATAGCTTCACGAAAATCAGCTGCGCTCATGTAAAGAAAAGGTGCCTCTAAGGGTATAAATCACGGATTTAAGCGTACAGCAAGTTTTTTCTTGTTTTGCATATGAAGATGAATACAAATAGACCCTGGTACGCAATATGTGGTAGGTGCATACATACCTACGTGAATAATCACAGGTTCTGTATCGAATGTTCGCCGACTTCCTTGTTCTTAAATTAGTTTGGCCAACCCGCCTCCTGATTGATTTATTTGTGGGGTTTAACATCCCAAAACCACCATATGATTATGAGAAACACCATAGTGGAAGACTCCAGAAATTTCAAGCACCTGGGGTTATTTAACGTGCACCTGAACCGGAGCCCATGGGCCTCCAACATTTCCGTCTTCATCGGAAATACCGCCGCCGCAGCCGGGATTCGATCCAGCGACCTGCGGGTCAGAAGCCGAGTACCTTAGCCACTAGACCATTGCGGCCGGGCCAATGCGCCTCCTGGAAAGTGTTGCAAGTGAGAGAAGTTTGTTGTGATAACAAAGTACACGTATAGGCATGACACGCTTATGTATTTCAACATTGACAGAGCCTTATTGCCACTTGTAAAAGTGCGCTTAATTCTACACACAGTCGCCTTGTGATATCAAATTTACGGAACAGTCAATCGCTGTAATGAAACCAACTGGTCCGCATGGAGTGCCATGCTACTGAATCAATGTGGTTTTGTGCAGGACTGAATGGATGTAGGGTGTCCTTGCGCGGCAACATGCGAGTCTTTCGGAACCGCACAGTTCACTGTGTTAACTACGTGGGTTTGTTTTGCAGCAATAGCAACAAGTACCTCATAGGAGCGGTGCTGTGCATACATAACATTAGAGAGAGAGAAGTATACGGTAATGTTGCAGCTGTATCGGCTCTACGGTTTTTCGACGGTTGCTATAATCGGATTACTGAACCTGACGAACATTTCCTAGCGTGCACAGAACGACCGGCGCACTGCTTATACGGATACATTTTTTTTTTTTTTCAGGAGACGATACAGAACGGCGTCTCCTTCCTACTCCTGGGCGGCTCGTCAGCGTTCCTGCTGGTGCAAACGTACTTCTTCCTATGGCCAATGTACTTGTTCATCCCCTTCTTCCAGGCCTACCCCGCCATGATGGCTGCTGGTGTAGGTGATAGCAGCTCGCCTTTGCGCTTTTTTTGTCCCACTGTCGGGCCATGGCCGTGAGAGCTGTCAGGGTCAGACCCGTCCTGACAGCACGTTTCGGCGCTTTGTTATCGAGCCCACTGCTATATATCATCTGCACGCGCGTGTCAGAATTGAAATTAACGCTTTTATAGAGGGAGGTGCCTGATAAAACTAGCAAGGATAAGTGGCGTTCTTGCGCTGCATATTGTTTCGCAACAAATGTGGCGGCCGTTTGCGTTCTTTCGCGGGCATCAATATTCGTCGGGTATCAAAAATAAATCGACGTGAGGGGGATCAGCTTGAGTGCTTCCGCAAACGCAGACCGAAGCGGGGACATAATGCAGAGCTCGCCGCGGCTTGTTTTGTGAACGTATATCATGTCAAAGAGTTGCCCTTTGCACGCGACCGACCAAAGACGTGGCTTACGTTAGCTGATTACACTGTATTGCGTTGAAAGATTGCTTGCAGAAGTGCTTAGTGGCGTGCCAAATATACTATAGCTGTTATAAACTTCAATATTGTTTCCTGGCAGTCTTGTTGGTGGTGTATGTATACGTACTTTGCAGTTTTACTGCACTTAATAAGGACAAAACAAGGCGAAGAATGGGCAGGACAGCGTGCGGTACCGTAGCCCGCAGCTGATCATGTTGTAATTCGTGATAAAAATATTCAGTTGCAAGTCGCCACAGTGTCTTTTCATCACTTTTTTTTTCTTGCGTTTATATGTACTGAGTACTCCAATGATTTTGTTATCAAACTGATTGACTGAAGGAGTGATTCGTGCAGCATCAATGAACGTGCACTTGATAGTTCGCGAACTTTGAGTGTTGTGGATCAATTCCGCGTTCGCAAGGAAGCTTGCAACAACTGTCGACCTCCGGAAAGGGAGGATGCAGTCATCACTCATGTATTCAGCGAATGCAGCTGGTTTAATCGCATTTAAGCTGCATCTTCACTGCTTCATTGCTCTCAGCACTTTTTCTACCCTCGTAACACACACACACACACACACACACACACACACACACACACACACACACACACACACACACACACATATATATATATATATATACATATATATATATATAACATATATATATATATATATATATATATATATATATATATTATATATATATATATATATATATAGTAGCCTGAATTTGACTATTTTGTTTCAAAATATTTAAATATTGTTTGATTAGACATGTTTAATTAACTAACGTTTGAAGGAACGAAGAGGGATAGAAAATTTCAATGACAAAGTTGTAGATCAGTTTTCCTCCTAACTGCAAATTCCCGCGAGCACACAAAAAAATACGCGAGAAACCCGCTCTCGCGCCAGTGCGTACGATGATTCTAGTGCTCCCTAACGTTCCACGTACGAATGACCATAGCATTTGCCCGATTGTTCTGTCTCGACAGGGCCACAACGATGGTGGTGGCTTTACGATAAGCACGTTTTGCTATCAGTCACAAAAGCGATAACCATTGTGCCTTCTTATCGCTGTCATGAACCGGAGCGAGACAAGCGTATCGTTCGTAGGCGGAACGTTATATAGAGCACCAGCATCACGGCGCGTGTGGGCGTGCCAGTTCAGCAAACCGACCTATAGAACTTTCTCGTTGAAGTTTTTGATCCACCTTCGTTCCTTCAAAAGTTAAACAGATCTAAAAAACAATACTTTATAACAGAAAAAAATGGTCTAACCCCAGGCAATGGTCAGCAAGATGCATTTGGTTACGTCGTAATTGCGTGTGTTGGCATATCGTTGTGTGTGTGTTGGCAACCAGCAGGAGTTAGCAAAGGCGTGCGAAGTCTGTGTATCAAAGTGAGCCAATATGGCGGGTTTCTCACACACGATCACATTGTCGATTTCAATGGACGAAAGCCTAGCCGCGCATGCTGCCTTCTCGCGTGCGATTGACGACTTTCCCGATTGTGCCTCAATATTCTTTTGTTTGTTTTTCCCAGGTGCTGGGAGCAGCAGCTGCTGCAGTTCACTTCATGGACTCGGTGCTGGCGTGCCGTAATCTAAGGCAGTGAGCACCTGCAAATAAACGTTTTTTTTATTATTGTGGGGGGGGGGGGGGGGGGGAGATTAAATACTGTTACCCTTTATTGCCATGCTTGTTCATTCAATGACATAACACATACACACAAACGCATGTACGTTTTTTTAAGCTCTCTTTCTTCATTTCTTTAAACTCCCTTTTAATACTACTAAAACAATCCAGCAATGTACATTCACGCTCCGCTTAATCGGCTGTGTGAGCGGTTTTCAGGTGTTCCTGTAAATACACAGAATAACGACGAGTCGAGCTAGTGCTAATACGCCACTATGCTCTGTATCCGCCCCGGGAATCTGTATACAGGGACACAATACGTACGGTGGTATGCTGGGGCAACCGCTCAGCTACACAAGGCGGCTAGCGGAGCAGAACGCTGTTGTCGCGTCGTTCCATCGCGTCCGTGAAGTTTGTTTTTTCGTGCCTCAGCGGAACACTTGAAGTCATTTTGGTAACGTGACAGTGCTCGGCGAGTAGTGGCGCGAGTTGTGAGCGTATGCGAACCCTCACCCTTGTCCGCTCTGTCAAACGCGTTCAGTGCATATGAATCCATATTCAAATAAGCGCGTTCCGCTCGCAAAACGTGCGTGCGGGGATCTTATAGTCCGCTAATTGATTGATATGTGGGGTTTAACGTCCCGAAACCACCATATGATTATGAGAGACGCCGTAGTGGAGGGCTCCGGAAATTTAGACCACCTGGGGTTCTTTAACGTGCGCCCAAATCTGAGCACACGGGCCTACAACATTTCCGCCTCCATCGGAAATGCAGCAGCCGCAGCCGGGTATAGTCCGCTAAGTTCCCCACGCCACATGGTTTTATAAATTGAAGCTAAGTGAAAAATTCATTGCGCCGAAAGGGCTAATAAATGTGACGAAATGAAGTCGGAAATTAAAAAAAAAAAAGTGTCCGAACTATCCTCAATACCACTGCGCAAGCATAAGTTTAGTAATTTTTTGTTGTCTTCTTTAAAACTTTGCAAAGTGGAAAAAAAATTGCGGAATGCGATAATGATGGCGCTCGCCAAAGCGAAATAATGACACGTTACTGTTTGCTAATACATCAGTAGCTATAGTATTTTTTCAAGTGTTTTATCAGATGTCTAACCTGCTATTTACAAATTTGGTCTTCCCTAACACTAGCGTATGGGCCGCAGCAGTGGACAGTCTTCATTGCCTAATTATAGGACAGCAGCATAGTTTCCGAAAATTAACTAGAGGGGACTGTGGCGCTGCGATCACTGAGCGACCATGGGAATGATAGTACACGGATCTGCTTAGTCTTGGTACTTGCGGGCGGCGAATCGCACCTGTGGCTTTTTTATTGATGTGTTTTTGTTTTGTTTCGAAGAAAATAACCTCTTTGAACTTTGTCACCCGATTCGAAATGATAAGTCTAAAATATTCAGGTGGTGAAGCACAACCGTTGAACATTTGCTGATTTCGCCATGCTCGCTGAAGCGTCGTGCATTGCAGCCCCCATATATACTAGCGCCAGAGTTCTCTCTAGTGTATATTTTGGAAGCTTTATGGACACCAGGGCTCAGTGGTTGCCGGACCTCTTAATGCATTTAGGCTAATCGAGATGTGTAGCTCCTGTAAAAGCTCCCGATTCCCTGTTATTCTAGCCGAGAAATCTGGCCACCCTACTTTGATAATATGTATGGGGTGTCTAACAGCTAGATAGTACGTAATGAAATTTAAATCGTTTTATGGAATATAATAATGGTGCATGGTGGAGCTAGAAGAGGACGACGATGAATTGTAGTTCAATCAGCTTTCTTCGCCCCGCCATGGTGGTCTTGTGGCTAAGGTACTCGGCTGCTGACCCGCAGGTCGCGGGACCGAATTCCGGCTACGGCGGCTGCATATCCGATGGCGGCGGAAGTGTTGTAGGCTCGTGTGCTCAGACTTGGGTGCACGTTAAAGAACCCCAGATGGTCGAAATTTCCGAAGCCCTCCACTACGTCATCTCTCATAATCATATGGTGGTTTTGGGACGTTAAACCCCACATATCAATCAATCAATCAATTAGCTTGCTCTTGCAACCAGGGGCGGAATTTATTCTGGCGCTGCAAAGCAGGATTCGGCAATTTTTTATGATGTTGGATCTTCCAAATTGTTGAATAAGTAGAAGGCGGCCATTTGCGGCGAAGGTAAATGACTCGTGAAGACATAATGATTATGATATGCGTGTCATGTAAGGCATGACTACATGCTACGCTCATAGCACACACGCGGCCATTTCCTTAGCTTATGCATATATCAAATTTGCTCTTACGTGACGTGAATGGACGATGAAGGTCGATGACTCGTCCAAACGTGATAATCATGATATGCGTGTCATGTAAAACACGACTACATGCTACACTCATATCATGCTCGCGGCCGTTTCGCTAGCTCCACATATACGAAATTGGTTATCACGTGACGTGAATAGACGATGAAGGCAAATCACACGTCCAAACATGGTAATTATGACACGCGTGTCATGTAAAACATGATCACATGCTACGCTCATATCATGCTCGCGGCCGTTTTGATAGCTCCACATATACCAAATTGGGTACCACGTGACGTGTATAGACGACAAACGCAAATCACACGTCCAAACATGGTAGTTATGACATGCGTGTCAAGTAAAACACGATTACATGCCACGCTCATAGCATGCTCACGACCGTTTCGCTTGTTCCACATATACCAAATTTGGTATCACGTGACGTTAATAAACGATGACGGTAATTGACATGTCCAGACATGTTAATCATGACATGAAAGTCATGTGCAGCATAACTTACGCCCGCCTTGTAACGTTGTGCTGATTTTAAAGTGACATAAGAGCCTATTCGCGCTTCGCATATCATCAATTTTTTTAATTGTCATTACGCCTTCGGTCTAAGGGGAAAAAAATAATACATTTTTTCACCTAAAAGGTGCAGGTGCAATCCATAATTTAGGGATGCATTAGGAATCAGTGTCCATCGATACGCTTCACTCGTAAATTGTAAGGTTAAAGAGTGCGCTACAGATAATGAGAATTTCGTAAAATAAGATACATTCACTAGACTGCAAGCGGGTCGCTCGCTCCATATATGAGTAACAAACTATATGTACCTACCAATCTTACTCGACTCTGTAACTGCAGGTTGGAATAAACTTTACAGGGCAGGAGAAAAGAAATGTACACTGCGCAAACAGTCCTAACAGAAAGGTTATTGCACGGATAGGTCAGCACAAATTGTGGAGCTCACTCAGACTCACTCATGATATATGTTTTGCACTTAGGGATCACTCAGGCTCAACTCAACGATTTTTTTTTCTGAATCACTCGAACTCACACTTACGAAAATCTTCTTCAACAAGACTCACTCGAACTCATACTCACCGAAATATTAAACAGGCGGACTCGCTCAGACTTACGGCACTATCTTAGTGTGAGTGAGCCCGAGTCAGTCGGCTCGTGAGTATGCCAGCTTTTCACGGTGGTTTCAATGCACTGAAAACCAATATATCTAATACCCGGTGCTCTACTGTGCACCTTTTCATCTCGTACCTTCTATACGAGTCACCAGTGGTTCCAATTTTAGTAAGGACATCTTGTAGCGTAACTACACTGGCCGGGGTTGAGCACTTTAACGTGGCTCATTGAGAGCCGTACTGCGCATGCTTGAGAAGCAGTGACGTCACAAGGCGCACATCTGGCACGCCGGAAAAAGGCCTGGAAGCTCCTGGAGTGGCGTGCCTCTTGTGGGCTGGCGCTCGACAGGCGTGAGCTCGTTCACTAGTCCGTCCAATCATGCGTTCATCCATGCATCCGTACGTCTGTCTGTCTGTCTATCTGTTCAAACTACGTACATCTTGGGGTAGTCAAGCTACGCCACTGCATTTTTTTTATCGGAAGTGATAACTACGCGAGATATTTTTATGTAGAATTTACATCAAAGAGATTGCGTGCTGACTTAAACTCCACGTATGAGTCATATCAATAAATTGCAATTACCTTAGTCCACAATGGTGTCAATGTCTTTTAACACCATTTTCTCAAGTAATCGGGGCTCTTCTAAGCACGTACCTTTTCATATAGTTCCCCTGAGTACGAGTTATGAGTGGTTTCAAATCATTAAGGACATTTTTCTTGAATGAAATGATAACATAAAATATATTCGATGCGAAACGAGTCATGGTTAAGCTCAATCCGGTGTGCGGCGTGACCACCCTTACAGTGCATGCGCACTCTTCCCCCTCTTTCCTCTCCTACGCTCCCCATCCCAACGCCGGCGCAGGCAGCGTCTGCTCGCTCCCCCTCCCTCTGCATCTCTCCCCGTGGCGTTAGCACACCCAATGCATAACCCGTCCAGGCTCTCTCCTACGCTTCCTATCTCTCACCTCGCAACGTCGACGTAGACGATTTCTGCTAGCGAGATTCTTGATTGAAAAAACGGACTGCTCGCTCTGCACAACCGTTCACTGCCCCCCCCCCCCTCCCGCATATATAGGCACTGGATCTTGACCTTCAAGGTATATATATAGTGCTGGTAGAAAATTTCTTTTGTGCGTTGTTGAACTATTAAAATTCGCAGCGTGCGTTTAGACTAAATGCGGACGTACTATGGGTCTCTGTGTCCAAGCGGAGTCTTCCGTCTCTCATTGCCCATTCGAAGCAATTTGCATGTTTTAGTCGGGAACACCGGTACATCACTGCATGCTTTGCGCCTCCCCAGGTTTCTCTCCTGCGCAACACCGCGATGAGTGCCAGTATCAACACGCCACCGCTAGCGTAAGCGGTAGCGCCCACTTCTCCGCATCTACACATGGTTCTCTTTCGCGGGCGATGGGGTAATTTTCTATCGAGAACTTCCCTGAAGGAGTTGGAAGCAGTGAAGTATACCCTTTGCGTAATTCATGCCTTTGATGAATAAATATCGAAACGGGGTATGATCAACACTGCTTTGGAATACGTGTGAGTAGACGAGTATAAATGTGAATTCAGGTGAAGCTG